GAGAGAGAGAGAGAGAGAGAGAGAGAGAGAGAGAGAGGAAGAAGAAGAAGAAGAAGAAGAAGAAGAAGAAGAAGAAGAAGAAGAGAAAGTTAGGATTAAGTACAAGATAATAGAGTAGAGAGGATTACCAAGAGCAGAAGTGAATTCCACAAATGTCTGGGAGTTCACAAACACTATCTCGCTCCTCCCCATCTAGTTCTTCTTCCTCCTCTTCATTCTTTTTGATAGTCTCTTGTTGTGTAGCCCCAGCTAGACAGGTATACTCTATATGTAGCCTAGGCTGGCCTTGAAACTCAAAATCCTTCCATCTCCATATCTTGAGGGCTTGTATTACAGGCGTGTGTCACCATGCCTCACCTTCAGTCTTACTCTTTTTTTTTTAAAAAAAGGTTTATTTATTTATTATGTATACAGTGTTCTGTCTGCATGGTATCTGCAGGGCAGAAGAGGGCACCAGATCTCGTTATAGATGGTTGTGAACCATGTGGTTGCTGGGAATTAAACTCAGGTCCTCTGAAAGAGCAGCCAGTGCTCTTAACCTCTGAGCCATCTCTCCAGCCCCCATGTCTTACTCTTAAAAGAAGTTGGTGGCACCTAACTAACTTCCATCACTGGCTTGCTTCACTAACATAATGACCATGCTGCTGCAAGTGGTATAATTTTGGTTTTTTTAGGACCAATTAATATTCATATGCATATATATATATATGTATATATATCACATTTATCCATTGATAGGCACCTTGGTTCTGGTTTTCTGTAGCTCAGCAGAATAACTGCAGTTTATAATAATTTATGGTATAGTTCTATCTTTTCTTTCTTTGAGGTGCTTGGGATCAAACCCAAGGCCTGTATATGGTGGGCCAGAACACTTCCATTGAGCTACATGCTCAGACTCTATGACATATTTCAGAATAGCTGTAAAAGTACCAGTACATAGGAATAATTAATATTAATGTATACAGAAGTACTTTTAGTTTTCTGAAACAGGATCCTATGTAGCTCAGGCTGGCCTCAAATAACCTCAAATGCCCGATCCTCCTGCCTCCATCCTCTATGTGCTGAGATTATAGACATGCATCATACCCAGCTTGGGAACTGCTTATTATACTAATATGACAATTACATATTGAATATATAAACTACATTGTTGCACTGTTCTGCATACCCATGTACAAACACTGTATCTAAAAAGTTCTGAGTGTAGTATTGTGGAACATGACTGCAACCCCAGCACTTAGACGACCCAGGCAGGAGGACCATGGGATCTTGTCTTGAAGGAAGAAGAGGAAAATAAGATTTGGTTCTTTAGTTCTCACAGCAGAGGTCTGTCTGTCTGTCTGTCTGTCTGTCTGTCTGTCTCTCTCTCTGTGTGTGTGTGTGTGTGTGTGTGTGTGTGTGTGTGTGTGTGTGTGTGTGTGTATGCCTGTAGGGCCCAGAAGAGGG